GACCTTAGCTGACCTGTGTTGGTGACCTTAGCTGACTTGTGTTGGAGACCTCCAATGACCTTTTTTTTTTTTTACGGGGATTAGCCCACCCGGACACAGGTCACTGACCCACATCGGGGCCTGGGGGGCGAAAATGTAATAATAATAATAATAATAATAATAATAATAATAATAATAATAATAATAATAATAATAATAATTATAAATAATAGTCATAATAATTCATAATAAATAAAATTTATGATAAAACAAACAAAAATAAAATAATAAAATAATGATGATAATAATACAGTGACTGTAATAATAATAATAATAATATTAATAATAAAGAACTCTAAATACAAAAATGAAAAAAAAGATCAAACGTGAGAAACGATATATGTATGTTGTGTTGTCAATGGTAAGAGAAACAATTGAGACCCTGCAATTGCGTGTAAATGAAGCAGAAAGTCAGATCATCAACCTGGGACTTGGTCACATATGGCAGCAGGGTCTACCATTAGACAACACAGTATGCCTCCAATATCTTCCCAGGCAGCAGTACCTCCCTGTTTGGTACCATAAAAGTCGAGTATAATACCAATAATCACACAGCAGTTGTAAATATTATGCACAACACAGCCTGGTCGGGGATTTCTTGCGGTAGTTCCCCGTCTCCGATCGCCAACCCCGAACCAACGCCTTTTCAATTACTAGACGACCCATTACCAGGCTAGCCAACAAATATACAATATACAATACTGATCTATGATGAATTAGTGATATTATGTTGTTGTTGCTGCTGGGTGTACCATTCGCCAGACAGTGTTTACTTTCGGTTTACATTCAGGTGAAATTGGTCGAGTGTTTTGGTACAGAGGCGCAGTTTTTCCCGTTTGTTATTATCGTCTCTCTCTCTCTCTCTCTCTCTCTCTCTCTCTCTCTCTCTCTCTCTCTCTCTCTCTCGTAACGTTCCTCTGTTACCTAAGTGAATCTACCATCCCCATTGACCATACGCATAACACTGATAACCTGATATCACAACCGAAGTCATAATGTTAGATGATATCCACAACCGTAACAAAGACTGAATGACGTAGTGATCATAGCGGTGGGGGAGGAGGGACAAGTCACCTCATTTTTAATCTTCCACCATCATCATCACCATCAGTGTGAAAGGAACATTAAAACTGAATAAGGAAGAGGAAGAGGAAGAGGAAGAAGTCAGGGTCAGTGAAAAGGTGAGAGGACGTAAGGAAGGTCAGGGGAAAGTTACAATTGTGTGAAGGGAGGACATGTATTCATAAAACACAGATGTCTGGAGATACTGGGAGGGGGGGTGTCACCTGATGTTTGGCTGTGAGAGAATGTGTTTTACAAGTGAGGGGGTGAGAGAAATGTAAATGAGAGTAGGGTAGGGGTCTGCCTGATGGTCGAGGATGTCATTATTATGTGACGTTGATTATACAGGATGGGCGGGAAGGAGGAGATGGCGGAATGGACAATGGCAGTGGTGGGAGACCTTCACAGGGAACTTCACAGCATGACCTTAATGGTTCAAAGTCAAATATCTATCTCATCTCTTGACTTCTTTTGATATATTTATTTGTTATTGGTTGGCTTCACCTGTACTTGAAGGCATTAAAAATATCTGGCTATTGATTATAAGGTGAGATTAATATTGAGGGCCCTTTTAGGATATGTACCGCGTGGTTAGGCTGGGCTCGGGGTCTGTCGAACTGGAGCCTCGTATAAAGAGTCGCCGTGTGTGAGTGAGTCGACCCCCAGTGAGATGTGTACAAGATGTTGACCAATATTTGAAAATGGATTTTATTTTCCTTGAGTTCACATCCTGTTTCTTGACTGTGACCACCAATGATGTTTAGGTCTCTGGATCACGTGAATATTAGGCGCCTCAGTTTTTCACCTTATGATGAACCAGACAACGGGGATTTCCTGACGCCTCGAGGAGCCAGTTAGCAGGTGACTGGCACCGGCTCAGCTCCCCGAGTGAGATGTGCGAGACCCTCCACCCCGGGCCACCCATCCTCCCCCTCTCAATCCCCCATCCCCTCTCGCTGGCCTTCCCCGTCTACGCACTGCTGAATAGAGTTACGTCCCGACTTTCTGTGCTGTAGATAGTAATGTGTGAGTGAGGGAGAGAGAGAGAGAGACGTTTATAATATACCTGCGGAACTAAAAGTCAATGCCAAGCTAACTCCGAATCAGGAGCAAGCGGATATCCGACTCATTACTCTACGTTTTCCTGCTCTCTACTGGTCTGGCTATTAGAGGTTACATCCTCAAGGTTAAGTGGCCACAAGTACGGAGAATTGTGATGGCATTGAGTGTGAGCTCATTCAAGACTTGTCTTGCCCAACACTTGTACAGATACATTCCGGAGCAAATACATGCCCATAGTGCGTAAAGAGAGCCAGTACATGCCCATAGTGCGTAACAGAGAGCCAGTACATGCCCATATTGCCAACAGTGCCTAACAAAGACGTGACCAAGCTCCCAGCTAACAGGCCGATCAGTGGCTAAGAGGATAAATTAAAATAAAGTACACTCAATCAATCAAAAGTACCGTCCTCATATCTGAGAGTTGGCGACAGCAGTACTCCACTCTAAACGTTATCAGGCTGTTTTTGCCAATCCTTCAAGATTTTATATCTTTTGGGGAATACAGTTTTTAATTTAATTTATTCGTCCCAGTCTCTGCCTTACCCTGGCCCTCCTGTCCTCAATTGTTTTAATTAATATTTCAATTATTATCCCCTCAGCCCTAATCATATGACTAAGGTATTTGATTTTTCTTATTCGGTACTTTTCAAGTATTTCTCTTGAAGTTTTTGCAAAGCTTATTACTTCATTTGCTTTCTGTCAGTGTAGCTTATTCTTAGCATTCGCCTATAGCACCACATTTCAAAGACCTCCAACCTCTTTCTGGTGACTGCTGAAGTGTCCACGCTTCTGACCCATACAACAGTCCTAATTGAGGTACATAAGCATCTCAAGGGGCACTACTCAGTCGAGTGTCCTTACTTGGAGCTGGCGGACGCTGGGCCCACAGGGGGTCACAGCTCAAGATTGAAGAAGCCGCAGCTCCTGAAAACTGTGAGGGCAAACTTTTTCGGAGTGAGAGCTGTGAACTCTTGGAACAATCTACCAGAGAGTGTTGTGACGGCACCGAGTGTGAGCTCTTTCAAGACCAGACTTGACCAACACTGGAGCAGGTTCAGGCACATTCAGGAGCCGGTGCATGCCCAGTACTTGCCAACAGTGTGTGACAGAGACGTGACCGATCGCCCAAGCGGCTAATGAGCTGATCAGTGGTGGAGAGGATAAAACATATAAACCAGCCGCCTTTTACTCAAATTGAAGTTAATGTCCCTTTTCACTCGGTCTTTTACGTCATTAGATGCTCTTTTTTTGTTTTTCCTACTCTTGCTTTGATTTCTTCCGCACAATCACAGCTAATGTTACTTCCCAAATACAAAAAATTCCACTTGTTTAAGTTTCCTGTTGCCTATCATAATTTTTATTTGGGGATTTATTTCCAATTTGTATGCAACTCTTACTTTAATCTTTACAGCAATAACTCTTAAACCATATTTTCACTTTTTTCCACTAATCTGTTAAGGAACCTTTCTAAGGCCTCTTCAGTATCTCTGACAAGGGCAGTATCATGTGCATAGCTCATACTATACTTTACTGTTAACTTTCAGTCCTTCATTAACACTTATAACTTCTCTTATTAAGAATTTTGAATATATATCATACAATTATGGAGACAGAACAAAGCTTTGTATTACTCCCTGCATAAGTGTAAACTAAGCAGTAAGTTCATTATTTACTAACACTAAAATAAAGTAAGATAATTGCTATTTCATACAACAATAATAAAGAAATAACAAAGTTATCCGACACATTATTCGTTTTCTTTTATTGTATCAGAGAAACGGATAAAAATAAGCAGTTTCATGATTTAATTTAAAGGCGAGGCTTAAATAATCTTTGAATAAGGGAGTTTAATGACCTTGAATGAGTTTAAAGGTGTTACCGTAGTATTAAAAAACTAAGTAAATTTTTCTTGTAGCTCCGTTCACTTGTAGGAAGCTAAACATATATTTCTCTAGTGTATTAGTGTGTAATGACGGGAAATAATGGAAGAAAATAGAAATTTATTTGGAAGAGCTATATCTCCGTTATTATACATTTCCGCCGGTAATGTAATAGATGAAAATGATCTTATAATTAGACGTCTTATTCGAGTATGATAACTTTAATTAAATGGCTGGGAAACGTCATAGAAGAAAAGTGACTTAGAATTGTGTGAACTGTTGATTGTAAAGATAAACTCGAGATTCGGTTGGTAATAATAATAACTATATATAGAATATTTATAGTGAATTCAGGACAGTTATATAAAAGAAATGAACCTAAACTACAAAAAAATTATGACAAATTCACGAAATGGAACTTTAGTTATTATTTGCTAAGGAATGTTAAGTTACAGACCATAAAAAAATTATAACAATGAAGAGGATTAAAATTGGCTTTCAGGATTATTAGAAACCATAGTCTAGTATATTAATTAATTAGGTAAGGTTAGGATATGTTAGGTTAGGCAGGTTAGGTTAGATTAGGATATGTTAGGTTAGGTAGATTAGGTAGTTTATGTTAGATTAGGATATGTTAGGTTAGGTAGATTAGGTAGTTTATGTTAGATTAGGATATGTTAGGTTAGGTAGATTAGGTAGTTTATGTTAGATTAGGGTATGTTAGGTTAGGTAGATTAGATAGTTTATGTAGATTAGGGTATGTTAGGTTAGGTAGATTAGATAGTTTATGTTAGATTAGGATATGTTAGGTTAGATTTGGTCACAATAAATCAAGTTAGATTTGGTAAGATTAGATTAGATTAGGACAGGTTAAATTTTGGTTAGGTTCCACTCCTATTTCACAAATGGTGTGTTTCTCTTCCAACATATCCATGTTTAGGCCAAAAAACAACACTGTTATCATTCACATGCATATTTCATTAGCTAGACAACATACACAATTCATGTACTGGTATATACCTTAATTATGTTTATATAATAGCAGTTCTAAATGGAGGTAGAATGTTAGCCTATTTGTTATAACTAATTTTACACATAATACCCTCAGAATACTCTATAAAGTGACTTAAAACACACACAAGCCCCTGAAAATAAAACTAGTTTAATTCACATAAAGATTAGACCACCCAGTTTATTTCACATGATGCTTAACCATCTTAATGCTATCTGAGGAGTTAGTCTAGCATAGTGTAAGATAAGTCAGGATCATTATTCTTTAGGTGAAGTACAGTACAGTACAGTACAGTACAGTACAGTACAGTATCTAATCTTCAGATGATCCTAAGATATTTTTATTTCAATACATATGTCAATGTGTCAATATGTCCACCATCAATATATTACTCTATCATATTAGCCTCTATTCTCAATCATATATTACTTAAAGCTTGCCATAAAATATAAAAAGCTTTATCTCATTATCATTCATTAATATATTTTCTATAGCTGTAGTATGAATGGCCTCCCCTCATCCTAACTTCAAATTGATCCCTAAAAGAGTCCTTTCATCTTCATTGTACTATAGTTACATTATACTTAAAGATGTATTATGTAAAGTCTACTGCTTAAGTCCTCTTGCCTCTCTCCCTGAACCCCAAACTTCAGCCTCATGAATCCAAAGCATTTATGGGCAGAATAATGCATCAGTGTCTACTACTTCATGTTCATGAGTCTGAATCTTGGAGTTCGTGGTTCAGGGGGAGAGGTGAACAGGTTTTAGTAGTTGACTGTACAGCCTCCGTTAACATCTACGCTAAGTCATGAATACCTACTGTACTGTAATCCAAAGTCTAACACCTTTTAAAAGCTCTAACACAACTCACACACATTGGTAGTTGCTACAATAGGTGAGAGAAGGCACTACATTATTGCTCCTATAATTATACATTTTTTATTCACAATTATTCAGAGAGTCAATAGAAAAATACAAAATCACAAACAGTTACAGATTGTTTGGTCTCAGTCTGGTTAACGAGTAGCCAAAAATCTAAATTATCTGGGTCATGGTGTCAAGATTATTATTATTATTACCTGTACAGAGTATTATTATTATTATGAACAAAATATATGATCTTGTCCCTTTTTACACACAACGTTGATAAGGTTCCTGTTAGGTATGTGTACAGTACTGAGTTACAGCACGAGACAAAAAATATAAACTAAATCTAAGTTTGTCAGGTTAGGTTTAGTTAAGTTAAATTTGGTTGATTTTTGCTTACAGAAGCGAATGTTTACTTTGTACACAAAACACTGTACACATACCCAGCTTTAACGCAAAAGTAAATTGAGTTGTTTCAGACCAAATAAGTTGCCACAGCCTAATATTTCAACAATGAATGCTTGAAGTACTCTGAACATGAAACTTTACAAACATCCTATTAATTAACAGTTAAAGATAATTAACAACACCATTCATCATTTACATTTTATAACAATTACATTATTAGCTGTAGCATCTGTATTAAAAATATATATATTTACTCAAATTTACACCTTAAATAAAATCTCTTGAAGAATAAGTCCAAAGAAAAAATGTTTTTACTAGTGTAGACTCGAAGGTTTCAAGTACTGTATAACATTATCATCATATTTTTGTGTCAAACATTGATGAAACTCAAAACCATTTTTGTAAAACTCTAAACTCTGATTTAAATAATCCAAGATTTCCCAGGTGGTTTGATGGTTCACATTAGGCAATACTGTACCACTGATGGAAGACCTCCAATGTTGTCTTGTGTCAGTCAATAGGTTTCCTTGGTACACACTTGGCTTGGCTACCGCTTAACAATACAGTACACACATACTCCAGCCCGGAATGGGAAATGAACACAAGGTCTAGAGTCAAGACCAATCTTGAACCAGTGTCACCTATCATTATGTATACTTTACAGCTGTCATAATACCGTACTTCCTCAACAATGGAAATCCTGATGAACCACAAACCTCAAGATTCAGACGTGTGAACTGGAAGCAAGTGTAGAGATAATAATGTCTCTGTGTTTATTGCTTCTGGTTCATGAGTCTGAATCTCAAGGTTCATGGGGCTACTCTTGTTGGCTGGCCATCATTTTTTTTTTTTTTTTTTGCTGTTACTTCCATCACTGTAGTTATGGGAATTTTTCATTGATGTTCCATGAATGGTCCCCTTTTAATATACCTGTACATACTGATAAGTCCAACATTGACTTGGCCCATCCATAATGGTTATCATTAATAAAGACAGGCGTCTCCTCACAACACTGTCTAGAGTCTTGTGGCATCTTGTTATTTCTTGTCAATTACCAAGAGTGACATCATGCTTAAGCCCACCACCTAAAGCCCAGTTATGGGAACTTGTCCACACAATACTTCAATTTCTATTTAAAACTTTATTCATTTTAAGAATTGTGGAATGTGAGTCTAGAGTTATACAGCTCTAGAGTCTAGAGCTGTATAATCTCTACAGCAGTCATTTAATTTGTTGTAGTTCTACTAATATATTAAAATGCAATACAGTACTATTTACATATATTAAAAGCAACATTAGAATATATTATTGTTCTGTAATATAAAGAAAACATAAATACACTATCAAACTCTGGAGTCCTCATGTCCCCTGGGAACTTATCGCCCTGAGGAACTTCATTATGACAGCTCCCAAGTCTGATACACAGTACACAGAAGAGACGAACATTATTGTGTATCTCTGCCATGTCAGGTCCTGAAGATGTTATAAATACTGGCTTCCATACCTGACTTAATACAGCAACATGAAAAGAATACTTTGGTTCAACCTATATGTAATGTGATCTTTCAGGTTGTAAGCAGAAATAATATTAATTTAAGAAATCTGAAAAAAGTTAAGGACTTTTTTAGTGACCCAAATTGTCAGATTATTTATTGTAGTAAACAAACTATCACATATAACTTACTGGGTACTAGTTTTTCAAAGATTTTTTATTACTGTACTTATTATTGCTATGAGTCCAATGATCACATCAAAATAGTACCCTGTGTAGTGTAGTGAATCATTAAAGAGAAACACCACCATAGGTCACTTGTATCACTTAACTGAATATATAATGCATAAGTTTGTACTTGGTACTTATAAAGTGCCTTGATGTTCATGTATAAAGTGTCCTCTGAGGAGTAATGCATCCAAAACATTTTTATTCAGAACTCTGTACAGTAGTGCACAGTACTGTACAGCAAAGTGGAGTACAGCACAGTACAACACAGCACGGTAAAATATCTGTTTTTACACTGAGTATTTTTGCTGACCAAGTGAATGGAAAATTCATCTTATGTCACAGGGAATCTGTATTTTCTTTTCTATAAAAACTTAACTGTGGTAACAGCATGCTGGGAGTCTGGTGCCAGGCCAAAGGGCTTGGTGCCATCTGGGGCCACCCACAGGTTGACTTGCTGGTCATTGAGAACTTTGTAGTTGAGGAAGTCATCACACACTTGCTGCAGGGGTAAAGGAATGGTGAATTTAGTTCATACAGTCTCAGCAACACGCTAAGGTTATACTGTCGTTCAGTCTTCATTTTCACAATAAAACTCCTTTTCTCTGGAAACTGAAAACTAACATGCTTAAAGCATAAAGATTTTGTACAATATTGAGCAGATTTATAATAGGGTGATTTAAAACTTATGGAAACAATGTACTGTAATTGATGTTTTAAATATTCTGTAATTGAATACTCATTAATTACCGGTAACACTAATTACTTGAATATTAACATTATGAACTCAGAGGCTTAACCAGAATGTACAAGAGTTTATCTATGAATTTTGAACAAAACCCATATTTTGACCTCATATGCTGTCATGGGCTGTAACCTGCAGCACCATTACCTGGTTAAAAAGTTATCATAGCCAAAAATAGGCAGACAGTCAGAACTGATAAGTATTGTATAGAGCAAGATGACATAGCTAAGAATTGGTTTTACAAGTAGGGAGGAATTTTATTTATATTTTATTGGTTCTGAGTTACAAACAAATTGACATCTGTAGTACTGTATATATTAATCTCTCTCTCACTGTGATGTTGTTATCAAGTGAGGAGAATTAGTCACTTTATGTTTTAGATAGAGGAACTATGAATCATTACAGTAATTACCTGGGTTAGACTGGATGTGTTGGTGGTAAACACAGCCTTGTACCCATTCCTTGCTGCTACCTTCAGGTTCTCATATTCCATTATCTGGTGAAGTTGTAAAATGATGAGATGATTATAACAACTGAAGAACCTTGACAACAAAGTCTACACTGTTTAAGTAACTGGATATTTTAGAGTCAGTCATCTGTATTTTCTGGTTTCTTTGTGAACAGTTTTTGATAACTCTGGCTACTCAGTCACCTAAATACAATACAAGTACTATAAGATATAGAAATAAAATTGGACAAAGTACTGTAACATAAAACATCCTTTGCCAAACTTGTTGAAATTTGGCAACAAAGTAAATTTCCGATATGATTTAACTACCGGTAATAAGAAATAGTAAGACATTATCAAGAGAGTTTTTGGAAAAAAGTTGAATTTTCATTGAAACTCTTATACTAATCACATACCTCTATGAGTTCAACATTTTCAGCTGGACCAAGTTGTAATAAGGTTCCCATCATGAAGCTATGTAAGACTGTCCCTCTGCCCTTTGGTACTTTACTCCTGTGAAGAGAGGCAGATACATTATGAATTAGCATAGTTTATTATGTACAGTATCACATGAAGATGTGGCACCCTGGCTTATTTCACCTTAAAGATAAACCTCCCTAATGTCAGGTTAGAGGCTATTAATGCAAGTATAACAACACATGTAAGAATATTAAAGAGATAAATGTTGATGGTAAAGTAGATGTGTAATGTGATACTGAAAGATAGCAAACTGTTGAGAGCTAAGATGGCGGCTGGGTATAAGGGTACTGTACTATTGGTGAAGATCTGCATAGAGGCATGTGGAGAGAATGAATGACAACAACTGGGTCAAGAGATGCATGAACCTAAATGTGTTGGGGGGGGGGGGCAGGGGTAGGCCAAGAATGACATAAGCAGAGGTTGTAAGAAATGTCATGAGATTTAAGAACCTGATAAGAGAGGCTGCAAGACATTGTGTATCATTAGAACTTCCATCAAGTAACTGCAGCTAACCCACACAAGCATGCAAAATGATGATGATGTTGATATTAAATAAATATACAGTTGGTTACATAAATCAGTAGGCAATTTAAAGTACAGTACAGTATATAGCTTATACTGTGCAGTACTGTATTACTATGTCCAGGTTTGCTTAGCATAAATAAGTCTCAGGTCTTACTTGGCCGGCTCCTCACAATACTCCAAGAAGGTGAGGACGTAATCAAGCTTAGGTGAGAGGTCCTCAAATGGAGGTTCATCCCAGAGGTCTAAGTTGAAAGCACAGGCAACCACCTCCTCTGTCTCTGGTTTCATTATTACGAAACTGCCAGAATAAAATAAAGAATATAAAGAGAAGACCATATAAGGATATTATATTGAAAAACATTTTTAACCAATAAACTAAAAAATAAACTATGTATTAGAGATGGAAATGGAGTTGACTTTTATTTTAGAATGAATAAAAACAGGCTCAGACAAATGCCATGTGAGTGAAATATTAAAGTTGACTCACCATTCACAACATTGTATATTAAAAACCTTAAAATTTTCTACTAAATGTCGTCAATGGCTATAACACAGTATTGTAGAACCATCAAAATAAATCAAATTAGAATATATGAGTGATTCTCTTTTCTGATTCATGAGATTATTTTTCTTTCTCAAAACTGTCAGTGATCAGAAATTGCTTTACTTTACTGAATCCTTTTTGCCAGTGGTTAGTTTTTGAGCCAGTCAGGCAGTCAGTCATTTCTCTGTTACTCATTGTTGGCAAGCACTGACTATAGAATGTATCTGAACATGTGCCAGTGCTATCAGGTCACCTATCCTGGGTTCCTCTTTTTTAGATCATAGCTATCTTAGGTCCCTCTCTGTCAGCTCCTAGCTATCCTGGGTTACTCTCTGTCAGCTCATAGCTATCTTAGGTCCCTCTCTGTCACCTCATAGCTATCTTAGGTCCCTCTCTGTCACCTCATAGCTATCTTAGGTCCCTCTCTGTCACCTCATAGCTATCTTAGATCCCTCGTCAATTAATACTCACCTCAGGTCTTGTTCTACCAGCTCATCAAATATTGGATTTAGCAACTTTATGTACTCCCAGGGTTCTGTATGAAGGTGCTGCTCTAAGTCTCCCTTCTCTGCGAAGCTCTCACTTATCATGCTGTTGGGGGGAGGTTAGACTTATTGAGATATGAACATGGTGTGTGAGGAGTGGTGTGGTGTGCATTAATTTTTTTCTGCATTTGAATGAACTCGACACAAAAATATATCCCTTTATATCACAAATAAATCACATACATATAAATACTTCCTTTTTATCTACAATTAGATAAGTGAAGAGTAAAATAGTCTCACTTATTTTACAATTTATTAACTCAGAACAAACAAACACTCCCCTGGACTACCTGAAGATTGGGTCCCCACAATATTATTTCACCTGATGATTAAACACCCTAATTGGGGGTTAGGTTAGGATATCATTAGAGTGGTAAATCTTAAGGTAAAATAAACTGGGGAATAATGTTCAAATTATCCCACTCACCTCAACACTGCCTCTTTATGTATGTGGAGCATCCTGGAGCAAGTGTACTGGTGGCTGAGTGAACCTTTCCTACACCCTCCAGGTGCTGAGGGTCCTTCCTCCTGACTGCTAACCTTCTGCATGTTCAGTACCACCTCCCCAAGGGTCTTTGCCTTCATAAACTGACCAATACCTGACAATTAAGAGACAAATTAATATAAGAGTTGTACTGTACAGTATATGATCTCTGTAACTCATACCCAAACCTAAGTGAATATTATCAGAGATGGAAAAATCAAAACTAGAGGTCCCTAACTTTACTAGTGTAGGTGGTCAGGTGCAGTTCTTTTTTATTGTCTCTGTAATGAAGGGGTAGTATTAAGAGACCTGTAACCACCTTGCCTCTAATATAGTAATATCTCCGTTAGCCGGAATCCCTCAAACCCAGAACTCTCCGATAGTCAGAATTGAAATTTTCTCTGAAAATTGTTCCCAAAGCCGGAATTTTCCGAAAAATTACGGCTTTGGGTACGATTTTCCGAGGGGCACATTTTCTGGAAAATTCTGAGAACATTTTCCCGATACCTAGATAATTCCGGGGATGGGGGAGTTTTTCCAGGTTTGAGAGATGAAAATCAGGCGCATTTTATGGAAATTCCAAGAAAACTTTTCCATTATCCAGAAAATGACGGGGATGAGGGATATTTTTCCAGGTTTGAGAGATGATGTAATGGGAAACTTCTGGAACTTCCGAGAACATTTTTCCGTTACCCAGAAAATTCCAGGAATGAGGGATTTAATTAGCGGAGCCTTCTTTGTGTGTATTTACAGCTGATTCGCCAGGCAAGAAGATGACGGTAGCAATGCGTGTGATGTAGGGAGCGGGAGGGGATTTTGAGAAATGCAATTAAATGCCAGGTAGCGACGTGTCCTCCTAATATTACGTATATAAATAATTATTAGATGTTTTAATTGCCTGTATGTTGGCAAAAACGTTTTTTTTCCGGCTTGGAGAGAGTCGCCTTGTGACCTGGAAATCTCTCATTCCGGAAGTGCTCTGCACCAATTGTTCTGGCTATTGGGGATATCACTGTACACATTTGGGATATCAGATCCCCTTTTACTTTTCATGTTTGCTGACATAATAGAAGCTCAGTTGGGGGACACACAATCAAACCATTACACTGATAAACTTGCAGTATGTACTTTATACAGTATATGATCTGCTTCACCCTCAAGGAAAACATCAAGATCTCTACTTACCTACATTATAGCCAAGATCCTTTAGTGATGTCACCGTCAGCACTGAGTTGAGAGAGTTGCCTCCAACCTCGAAAAATGATGTGTTAAGGGAGAGCTTTTTGCCTCTGGCCACTGCTGGGCCCAAGACATGACCCACAGTCAGCAGCAAAGCACGAGCTGCGGCCTCTTGTTGGGAACTGACACCTGTCAAATCGATGTCTACCTCTTGCTCGTCTCCTGGGAAAGAATAAATCAAAACTGAATTTGCAAGCTGATAAAATGAAGGAAATTACCACAATTTAAAACTGCTTTAAACTGTAAATGTATCCAAACACTGTATAGCAAAGAACTCATTTAGGATTTTATGAAGGAAATATGTTTTCAAAGGGTGGTTTAGGAGAGCAGAAAAAGTTGATCTTTATACAACTTTTCTCACATTTAGAAGTAGAATGCTTCCAATATTCAGATTAAAATACCTATACAGGTATATAATAATGAATCATGTACTTTGTGAGGTGGTGATGAGAATGTATGGCAGCTCTCCAAGTGGTGCTGTTGTTTTAACTAGTTCACAGAAAGCAATTATCAATGGGTAAGGGACAGATTCACCTCTACTTGAGCTGTTTTCAAAGTCTACTATGACTAATTTGTTTACATACACACCACACAGACGTGACTCAGAATAGATAGTTAATGGGAGAGAGAAAGAGCAAAAGAGAGAGAGAGAGAAAGAGAGAGCAAAAAAAAGTGATAAACTGTAGTGTATATACAGTCAGAAAACAAATTAGATGATACAGTACAGTATGGTTAAAAGCAATATAATCTCTACCTTGACAGACTCAGTGTTAATATCAGGGGACTTTAAGATATATAGTACCTACCTTTTGCTCTCTGCTCGTACACCTTCAGCAGCTGTTGACGGTCCACCTTACCATTCACTAACAAGGGCAGGTCATCCATGTGAATTAACTGCAATGAAATGTGAGGTAATGAATGAATGAAACACAAGGTAATGAATGAATGAAATGCAAGGTAATGAATAAAACATGAAATAATGATTTTACTTAAGTTTCTCTTGAGCATTGAAGACTTTATTTGTGACTCACCCAAGTACAAAAGAATTTATCTGAATATGGATGAATTTATATTCAATTTATTTGAGGTACCAAAGGATTTATTTGAATTCATGTGTAATATTTAAACTTCAAAATATTCACTCTAAATATTTGTTGGGTCCTATGGGATTTAACATTGCATATACCGGTATGTAGTACTATGTACGTATGTATGTTGCTCACCTGAGGTTGCATGTAGGGTTGAAGGAGGGTTGAGATTTGCACCTTCAGCACCTCTGGGACCAGCTTGTCATCGTGACTGGTGTAGAAAGCAACCAGAGCCTGTCAGATAAATAGTACTGTATAGGCATGACAAATCTCTGCAAGGTTATGACAACATTTAAGACTACACTGTACTGTACTGACATGTTTAGTGGTGATGAAAATTTGTATCTTTATGTACTGTACTGTAATGTATTTAGCCATAGGAAAGATTCTTTTATGTTACTGTATTTAAAGCCATAGAAACCTTATTTATTAATGTACACTATACTGAGACAGGCCTTTATCACTGTTTCTAGTTTTTGTTTTATCCTCTTCACCAAATGATCTGCTCGTTAGCCGTTTGGGCGATCGATCACGTTTCTGTTACTCACTGTTGGCAAGTGCTGGGCATGCACCGGCTCCTGAATGTACCTGAACCTGCTCCAGTGTTTTACTTTTATCCTCTTCACCACTGATCGGCTTGTTAGCCGCTTGGGCGATCGGTCACGTCTCTTTTCCTTTATATTCTTCACCAAAAGGTCGGCTCGCTAGCCGCCCGGACGATCGGTCACGTCTCTGTCACGCACTGTTGGCAAATACTGGGCATGCACCGGCCCCTGAATGTACCTGAACCCGCTCCAGTGTTGGTCAAGTCTTCTCTTGAAAGAGCTCACACTCGGTGCCGTCACAACACTCTCTGGTAGATTGTTCCAAGAGTTTACAACCCTCACTCCGAAAAAGTTTGCCCTCACGGTTTTCCGGACTTGCGGCTTCTTCAATCTTGAGCTGTGACCCCTTGTGGGGCGAGCGTCCGCCAGCTCCAAGTAAGGACACTCAACTGAGTAGTGCCCCCTGAGATGCTTATAAACCTCAACTAGGTCCCCCCTTGCCCGTCTGTAGTATAAGCTAGGCAAGTTCAGGCGCTCGTTGGTCAAGTCTGGTCTTGAAAGAGCTCACACTCGGTGCCGTCTCAACCAGCTGTTGACAGATAAACTCCAACACACACACACACACTCACATACCTGGTTGACCTCCCCGGGATTGTAACAGAGTATGTACACTTTGTCGACGCCCTTAACCATAAGCATGGCCAACTCCACCTCATTCATGTCCACTCTATGGCCACGGATTTTGATCTGAGAGTCGGCTCGTCCCTCAAACACCAACATCCCATTGATGACCTTTCCAAAGTCACCCGTACGATAGAGAACTGAGTAATCTGCCGGGTAAATAGTATAGTGTTAGAATTAAGGTGCACAGTTCAGGGTACAACATCAGATTAATACAAAGACTGATTATTATCACCCATCAATGAATTACTGGTCATGGTATGGTAATAAGTTTTCTTCAGAGAATTATAACAGGGGTTCATTAAAGTTAAAACTCTCATCACAAAGTCTAATAGTTACAATTAACAAAAAACCTGAAGATCAGTAACCAACCTGTGTCACTGGTATGTTTATTCGTTACAAATTTTTCCGGTTGTGCCCTGCCTACGTAGCCACTAGCCAAGTTGAGGCCAGAGGCATACACCTCCCCCATCTGCCCCTCTGTCACCAGTTCTCCATCACTGTTGAGGAGGTAGATCTGACAGTTGGTGATGGGGATACCTGAAAAAAGTGGTGCCTATATTAAGAGATGCAGAAACAGTATAGCTTAGGTTACATTGGATTAGGTTAAGAAGGGTTGGGTTGGATTGGGTTAAATTGTACAATATAACAGCATCTAAATGTGTGAATAAGTAATGCAGGCAAATGAATGTAACAGGTACAATATTTCACAACTACTGTACTCACCAACGGGGACTTTGTTGTTGACTAGTTTGGTCATGGCATCATTGTGGTCATGGAAGTGCAGGTAGGTCACATCTCCCATCACTTCCGTGGACCCGTAGAAGTTACAGATTGTCTAGGTGGATAGAGTTGGGTATGTGAGTGTTTTGTTATCTGTCAAGGTTATTTATCTACTTGGTAACTCACTCACTCGTTCACAGGTAACACGTTTATCATTTATTTTAAATCTTACTTGAAAAAATAATGTCAGAATTTCAAAAGTGTATTTACTGTATAATGTATTGTTTCCTAATAAATCAAAACCTAAAAATGCATTAGAGTAACTGCAAAATAATAAAACGTCTTCACACTTTATGTTCCCACCTGGCTTTTTGTGAATGTCTTGAAAAATGAATGGAGCAGATCTGATGGGAAGACCTCGCCTGAACAAACCCACAGCCTGTGAGCCAGAAACATCATGTATACAGTAACAGATAAGGAGAGAGAAAAATAATTTTCAAGGCCAGAAGACTGTACAAGACATCCACATAATAGGTTCCATTAACCATATGTACACATGATTCTCTCTCCGCTGAATAAACTTATCTGGCGTCCCAGTAATGAAGGAGTTAGAAAAATACAGTATATATACAGTCCTGTATATTCAATGCGAGATATGTGCTTATAAAAAATAGTCAGGGATCCTGATTTGGTCAACACATGCACAGATCCTTCACTCAATTGCAATGACAAAAGAAACCAATTATGATAAGTTACTGATTAGCATTGACTCTAACCTGAGGGATGTCAACTTGGGAGAGTCGTCGGCAGAGCAGTGAAGCACGATTGACCTCAGCAGACTGGGCACTAATACCAACCTGCCAACCTTCTCTTTGTCCAACACTGTTACTAACTCATCCACAGCTTGTGTCATGGCCTGGTGATGTGAGGAAATATATGGTCTGATAATGATAAATAACTCCATGAATGATAACTTGGCAATGGTTTACTTGTTTTGAACAGCACTACACCAGTGATGGTCTGAAGGGAAAAAACCTACAGTATATCAATATCTGTCTTCATTATCATAACCAATTCAATGATGAAATTTAGTTTTGTGAATCTGTAATGTTTCTTAACAATTACTAAAGTTGTTTCCACCATTTCTCTGTGTTTGCATTACAAGATTATATTTTCTCTTACCTTAGGGATGACGACCACCCGGTGCCCAGTCAACAGTGGGCCGAAGATCTCACTGATAGAGTCAACGAACGTTAGTGCAGTCTTGAAGCAGCACACCTAAATGGTAGGAGTTTATTGATTAGTACTGTCATGTCTTCCCATATCTGTCATTTGAGTTAACTAGCTCCTTGAGAGGCATCAGTCCTGCCATATACAGTACTGTATTGCAAATGGAGTTAAAGAATCTGGATTAACAGAAAGAAACATTCGATTTGTTTATTTTCCAGATATAAATACAGTACAGTGATATCCCCAATAGCCAGAACAATTGGTGCAGACCACTTCCGGGAATGAGAGATTCCGGGTAACGAGACGACTCTCAAAGCCGGAAAAAATCCCTCATCCTCGGAATTTTCTGAAAATTTCTGGGTAATGGAAATTTTTTCTCAGAATTTACAGAAAATACACCTGATCTTCATCTCTCAAACCCGGAAAAAAACTCCCCATCCCTGGAATTTTCCTGAATTTTCCAGGTATCGGGAAAATTTTCTCGTAATTTTTCAGAAATGTGACCCTCGGAAAATTGTTCCCAAAGCCGGAATTTTCCAGAAAATTCCGACTTTGGGACTGATTTTCCGAGAAAATTTAAATTCCAGCTATCGGAAAGTTCTGGGTTTGAGGGATTCCGGCTAACGGGGATATTACTGTATCAAGGTCTATGACTCACCAAACAATGATGGAAAATAAGTACCAAGCTCTCTTGAGACACCAGAGAACAGCACTCACCTCATCCTCTTGGTAAGGAAAGGTGCTCCACTGCCAGGCCAGGCGGTTTAAGACGGCCTTGTGGGAGATCCTGACACCCTTGGGGATGCCAGTGGACCCTGAGGTGTACAGGATGGTAGCAATGGACGACTCACTGAAAGTCATACCAACCTCCTCTGCTGTCAGGTCATCGTGCCTCTCTTCCTCCATCTGATAAAGGAAATGGAAAACTGTCATACAAAAAAGAGGAATGAGGAGAAACAACACCTTCCATTCTTAAGTAGCTCCTTTTTCTCAGCTTAACATAGGAAGCAAGTAGCAGAGAGCCCACTCATGATAGGAAGGTAAGGGAGTGTTAATGTAAGTTGCTGTATGTCCTCCAGGTACTGTATAAAGTCTTACCTCTGCCTGTAGTTCCTCCAGGTACTGTATAAAGTCTTACCTCTGCCTGTAGTTCCTCCAGGTACTGTATAAAGTCTTACCTCTGCCTGTAGTCCAGGTACTGTATAAAGTCTTACCTCTGCCTGTAGTTCCTCCAGGTACTGTATAAAGTCTTACCTCTGCCTGTAGTTCCTCCAGGTACTGTATAAAGTCTTACCTCTGCCTGTAGTTCCTCCAGGTACTGTATAAAGTCTTACCTCTGCCTGTAGTTCCTCCAGGTACTGTATAAAGTCTTACCTCTGCCTGTAGTTCCTCCAGGTACTGTATAAAGTCTTACCTCTGCCTGTAGTTCCTCCAGGTACTGTATAAAGTCTTACCTCTGCCTGTAGTTCCTCCAGGTACTGTATAAAAAGTCTTACCTCTGCCTGTAGTTCCTCCAGGTACTGTATAAAGTCTTACCTCTGCCTGTAGTTCCTCCAGGTACTGTATAAAGTTTTACCTCTGCCTGTAGTTCCTCCAGGTACTGTATAAAAAATCTTACCTCTGCCTGTAGTTCCTCCAGGTACTGTATAAAAAATCTTACCTCTGCCTGTAGTTCCTCCAGGTACTGTATAAAAGTCTTACCTCTGCCTGTAGTTCCTCCAGGTACTGTATAAAAAGTCTTACCTCTGCCTGTAAATCCTCCAGGTGTAAGATAGGAACATTATTCTCCACTTGAGGATTAGTATGAATACTCTGAAGGGCTTGAGGATGACCACTAGCAAGGAGGAGAGTGGGTCTGGCATCATTCAGTATGTGAGCCATGCGAGACTCTGGGAAGGTTATATCCAGGGGTAGATATGCTGCTCCAGCCTGGTATAAAACAAATCTTTATCAGGTGTGGATTATCAGTGAGCTAAAATATGTTTGGATCACCTGAAGATTAAACACCCCAACTTATTTCACTTGCATATTAACCACCCCAATGCTACCCTGGCCAATTAGGTTAATGTGGGGTGGTTAATCTTTAGGTGTAATAAGCCGGGGTGTCTAGTCTTCATGTGAACCATTTTTTTATTAAATACGTATTATTTTCTCTTTGTTACCAACTTTCAGATATAACAGTATGTAATTTATATTATTATGTAATGCATGCAAGTTGATGTTTTTATTTCTGCCTCATAACAGTTACAGGAAATTCAGGCAAAATTATCGAGACAACTCGAAAATCCCTAGTTTCAAAGATCCCCTGAAACAGATACAAAACAAGTGATGTATTACAGTGCATTACCTTGTGTATGGCCAGCAGGGTGGTGACCAGGTGTGAGCTCGGGGCCATACACACGGCCACCACTCTATCACCATCTGGATTGGCTCGTGTAGAACTCTGGAGCCTTTTCAGTAGACATCTGCGGAAACATGAGAGGAAAATATTTAAACACGTGGCTTCAGTAATATCAATCAGACTACCGTCCTCATATCTGAAGGCTAGCGACTACAGCCCTCCTCCTCCTTTTCCTCCTTGTAAATCCCCTCTCTCATCCTCCTCCTCCTCATCCTCTTAAACCAATATCTAACCCCCCCCCCCTTAGTGGATGTATTGACGCACTTTAAAAATACCCCAACATACTTTAAAACACCGTAACATACTTTAAAATACCATAGAATACCATCCTATACCCTGTACCCACCATAATCTACTATAATATACCATAACATACCCCATACCCACCTTGCTATCGTGTTGGCGGTGTCGTTGAGTTCTTGGTATGAGATCCAGTCGTGTTGGTGGGCATCTTTGAGGGCAGGAGAGGCGGGACGACCCAGTACTACACACTCAAACAGTCGAGGCATCACGACCACTTCCGGCAGCTGTCTTGCTTTCCCTTTCAACACCATTGTCGTTTCTATGGTGAGTTTATAACCTTGGATTAGTGATTTGAGGAGAAAGTCTGGATTAGTGATTGAACAGGAGAGAGTTTGGATTCGTGATTGAACAGGAGAGAGTTTGAATTGGTGATTGGAGAAGAGTTTGGATTAGTGATGGGAGGAGAGAATTTAGATTAGTGATTTGAGGAGAGAGTCTGGATTCGTGATTGAACAGGAGAGAGTTTGGTTTAGTGATTGAAGAGGAGAGAGTCTGGATTAGCGGTTGGAGAGGAGAGAGTCTGGATTAGTGATTGGAGAGGAGAGAGTTTGGATTAGTGATTGGAGAGGAGAGAATTTGGATTAGTGATTGGAGAGGAGAGAGTTTGGATTAGTTATTGTATTGGCTGTAAATTGTTATGCTTGATAGGATGGACGAGCGATAAACAGTATCTTTGTCACATTAATTTATTGGAAAATTTGGGTTTTTGTTCCCTACCCAAAAATCTTAGCTGTATTATTAGGGGTAAGTGGCCCTATGGAGGAGTCCCGAGCCATGAAAGTGAGATCAATACTGAGGTTCAAAATAGCCCCGAACAAGACTATCCATTAGGGATCCTATACAAGCGTGACCTCTAAATACAAATGCCATTCATAGTTGAGTGGGATGGTTGCTGTGGTCGCCAGGCTTGGGAGTAAAGACATGTACTGTACTGTAACCGCTCTGTCGCCAAACTCAGTCATTAAAATTTGTAACTGAAGTGCCTAAGACAATACAATACATCCGGTGAAAACTGCTTGCTTCATTAACCCGTTAACAGTTAAACCCGAGTAAAGGCACTAATACATATAATGTCAGTTCGGGCAGTGGTGTATGACGTCACCATATGAAGTGAAGCAACTGAAGGTTTTCTCCAACCGACAATAAAAAAAAAAAATAACATTGAACGTCATTGTGTGTGTGGGGGGAATTCCTTGATGTAACCTCCACTGTAAAAAAAAAGAGATTTCTCCTGATTCAAGAGCAAACATAAGCTCTTTTCTTCATTCTATACTAATAAAAATTGTAATTTAATAAGACGTATTGTTTCTCATTTATCTATTTACCATTTCACCAGGTTACTCTAGCCGTTCGGGAAGTTAATCTTCCAGAGTCTAAATTTTGGGGTCTAAGTGGGTGTATTTTGTTTCAGTCTTAATATTGCTCATTCTTGCAGTTATCTCGCTGTCCTGATAAGCCATCGAGACGGATGAGGCTGAGCAATTTGCACCACTGACTAAAAAAAGACATCACTGAGGTGGCTCGGAAGTCCACAGAAACGAAGAGGACAAGGCGGCAATGGGGTAGAGAGCACATCTACTATAAGGTGGGAGCAACTGTGTATTAATTAATTATTATGATTAACAAAACATTAGATGTATCATAAACTTCAAATATCCATGTGATGGATACAAACAGATGCACTGATGTGTGGATTTGGCATCCTGTGTACCGCCGGCAAGGCCTTGGGTTCGTAACACTCGTCTTGCCCGCGGTGCCCACCGTTTTTGTGTGAATGTCCTCACAGCCAAACTGTGGAATGTTCTGCCTTCTGTGTTTCCACTCTTTGACAATGTTTCACTTCAAAAAGCTGGTTTTCCGGGATCTTCGTGGTGTAGATTAATACAGCCTTTTCTCTTCTATTTTTAATTTCTTCTTACTCTTATTTTTTCGCCTCCCCGAGCCAGGGTAGGCTATACCCCGTAAAAAAAGTTCACACTTGGAGCAGTTATTGTTTCAAGCAATAGATATAAGACTGAGATAAAATATTATCTTTACTTTTTACTTTTACTTTTAACCTCTTCACCTCTGATTGGCTCGTTAGCCGCTTGGGCGATCGGTCACGTCTGTGTTACGCACTATTGGCAAGTACTGGGCATGCACCGGCTCCTGAATGTACTTGGACCTGCTCCAGTGTTGGTTATGTCTGGTCTTGAAAGAGCTCACACTAGGTGCCGTCACAACACTTTCTGACAAGTTGCTGAGTTCACAACTCTCACTCCGAAAAAGTTTGCCCTCATTTTCTGGACCTGCGGCTTCTTCAGCCTTAAGCTATGACCCCTTCATGGGGCGAGCGTCCCTACAGTATATCAGTGTTATTGTTTTATTAGTAAAAGTTTTTTTCATTTTCAGTGTTTATCTTGTTTACACACATCCGAGATACCGATATCTATACGTAATAGAGACGCAGTAAATATAGAGGCACGTGTATCAATAAATGCGATTATGGTAACACTGCCATACAAGTTGAGCAGCAGGGCAAAACTGCCGGTAACTTCATCACGTCTTTGCGATGTTTCATATTGTTCCGCACGGCAGAGGTGGTGATACCGTCAACAAACTTACAAAGCTTTTATTGGCTGAGAGAGAGAGTTACATCGCCTTACAGCCAGCTCACACACTGTAGATACAACTTGCACGAACAGTAAGGAGACAGTGTCTGAAAAATGGCCGATGAAATTCGATGTGAACAAATGTAAAGTATTTATTCTAGGACATGTAAACAGAGAAACCAGATACCCTGAGGGATTGGAGCGCCTAAACTTGCCTAGCTTATACTACAGTCTGTCAGACGGGCAAGGGGTGACCTAATTGAGGTGTATAAGCATCTCAAGGGGCACTACTCAGTCGAGTGTCCTTACTTGGAGCTGGCGTCGCAGCACTTACTACAAAGTTGCTAAGCTTGTTCCTCTCATGTCCTTAGTCAAGAGGATTATACAGAGGCCAGTGAAAAACACCTCAACGATTATGTTAGTGCGTATAATGGACTACAATTTATTAAGGAAAATCAAATGTATCACCTGGGATTAAAAACTGCGACGATTATGAAGTGACGAGAGAGAGAGAGAGAGAGAGAGAGAGAGAGAGAGAATAACAACAATGTTTCTCCACCTCACGAGTGGCTTTCCTAAAACAAGTTACGTCACAGCTCAATTGAGTGACCATGGGCAATGGGTGACAATTCTTAATGAAGTGACAAAGAACGCAGGGGGTGGTGGCTTTCCGGGGAGGAGATGTGTGGGGGCGCTTAAATTACTGAATACAACCTTATTCTACCCATAATGCGACACAGGCTCAATACTTATAGAAAGATTATCCATATCAAAGAATAAAATAGAAATTAGTAATGTTGATGGATAATTTTCGACGTTGTGATTCCGTTGACAATTCTCCATGAAGCATCCTAAGGCAGGAACCGAGGCGCCGGGGAATAATTGGCCGCTGAGTGAGTTAAATGACGACTTCCCGGGAGACGTGTGGGTCAGTGGGGGCGGGAGACTGATTAAAGGAAAGAAGGATTCAGAGAGACACTTTCAAAGACCACAGAGGAAATGATATAATCAACGAAATGGAGGAAAGTTGAGGCTGAGATATTAAGCTTGACCACGAATATAATTATACACACATACAGACATGAATACTGACGTGGAATCAGGTATATTTATTAATTTACATACTTGTATTTAATCATTACTTCTCGCGTCTATTAGTTGATATCACCCACCCACACACGCCCACGCAACCACCCACACACGCCCACGCAACCACCCACACACACACACACCCACGCAATCACCCACACACCCCTCCACCCACACAAACACCTCAACCCACATCCACCCCCCAGCCTGGTCTGGAAATTCCCAGAGTTTTTAACAAGTTAACCTGGAGGTTGACGTACAGATGCACCCCCAGCTCTCATAGGCCCCAGCTCTAATAGTCCCCAGATGCAATAGGCGCCAGCTCTAATAGTCCCCAGATGCAATAGGCCCCAGCTCTACTAGTCCCCAGCTCTAATAGCCCTCAGCTCCAATAGGCCCCAGCTCCAATAGGCCCCAGCTCCAATAGGCCCCAGTTCCAATAGGCCCCAGGCCTCACCTCACCTTACCACAACACAGTGATTTTATTCAGTGGTGTTGAGTAACGTCATGAGTACAAACTTTCCCACTGACCGTATATAACAGAGAGAGAGAGAGAGAGTAAAATCGCCAAACATATTCATATCGGATCAGAGGTTTGTGAGATGATTGTTCAGGTGTGTGGCTCCGTACAGGTAACCAGGTGTGTAATTGACGGTCGGGTACGAACGACACTGCCTCCAGAACCGGTTTTAGGTGATGGAGTGAGAGGTGGACAGAAGGGAATGAGGAAGAAGAGTGAGAGGTGGAAGGAGGGGGAGGGGTGATGAGGCGTAGAGGGAGGGAGAGGGATGGGGGAGATGATTGAGGGGTGGGGGGATGGGGGAAGTAGAAGACTGGGGAAGGATGGAGGGAAGGGAAGAAGGGAGGGAGGGAAAGGGGTGTCTGTCTATTTATCCGTCTCCTCCTCGGGTCCTCATGGCAGGACGCAGAACACCGGAGAAAGGAGGAAAATGCCGACAGAGAGGAAGAATATCGCCTCAAGGTACCACAATACAGGAGGGGGAGGAGGAGGCCCGCAAGCTCTAAACCCCAAGGAAATGAGAGACTTCAAGAGATTCTCGAGGAGATTGAAGAGATTCAGGGAGATTCAAGAGCTGGAGGGAAGCGCCTGGCCATCGACACATCTACAAACACAGGAAGAAATCGATGGCGGGAACTCTCGAAGGTCGGGAGAAACAACTGCGCATCGCAAACTCTGGCTAGAACATCCTGCTCGATCCTCTTCCTGGTAACACGTACGGAATCAAAATAAAGATAAATAAAACCTAATTGTATGAGATATAATAATAATAATAATAATAATAATATTATTTCTCAAGCAATAAGGTGCAATTACGAACGCGATGACCCAAAACCTAAACAATGATATCAGCTTTTAATCCCGAAATGAAAACAAAGTGAATGAAAATACTCATACATGACATAAATGTGAATTAAAAACATGACTGTTGAGAATATTAAAATTTATTTCCCGAGAGAAGTTTTTGAGGTTTATTTATGTTTTATCAAAGGGTTCATCTTGTATATAAAAATGTGAAGGGCTCAATGTTTACGCGGATGGCGGTCTCCGAGTGTGCTT